TTTTTTGAGACGGAGTCTCGTTCTGTTGCCCAGGCTGGAGTGCAGTGAAGCGATCTCGGCTCACTGTAAGCTCCACCTCCCGGGTTCACACCATTCTCCTGCCTCAGCCTCCCTAGTAGCTGGGACTACAGGCGCCCACCACCACACCCGGCTAATTTTTTTGTCTTTTTTAGTAGAGACGGGGTTTCACTGTGTTAGCCAGGATGGTCTCGATCTCCTGACCTTGTGATCCGCCTGCCTTGGCCTCCCAAAGTGCTGGGATTACAGGTGTGAGCCACCGCTCCCGGCCCCTTTTTGCTTTTTTAGAGATGGGGGTCTCCCTTTGTGGCCCAGGCTGGATTTGAACTTTTGGGCTCAAGTGATCTTATCTCAGCCTCCCAAATAGCTGGGATTACAGACATATGCCACTGCACCAGGCTCTAACATTTTGAGCGTTATTTCTTTTGCTCAGCATTATGTTTATAAAATGCATCCATGTTGTCCTTGGAGTTATCCATTCCTTTTCATTGCTCTCTCTGCTGTATTTTGCTGCATATTCATCACATGGCTAAGTGTAGTTTATTTTTCTGGTTCTCCTGCAGATATTGAGGTTGTCCACAGTTAGGGCTAATAGGAGCAATGCACCTGTGAGCATTCTTGTTCAGAACCCACATACGCATGTACATGAGTTTTCCTAGGATATATTCTCGGAAGGGAAGTGGCTGGGTCTTAGGGTATGTATGTTTTGACCTATATTATCTGATGCTAAACTATTTTCTGAAATGGTAGTTGTACCAATTTATATTCCCACCAGAAACAAGAGTTTTCTTTTTTTTTGAGACAGAGTTTCACTTCTCTTGTTTAGGCTGGAGTGCAGTGGTGCAGTCTTGGCTCACTGCAGCCTCCCCGTCGTGGGTTCAAGTGGTTCTCCTGCCTCAGCCTCCCGAGTAGCTGGGATTACAGGCATGCGCCACCATATCTGGCTAATTTTGTATTTTTAATAGAGACTGGGTTTCTCCATGTTGGTCAGACTGGTCTTGAACTCCCGACCTCAGGTAATCCACCCGCCTTGGCCTGCCAAAGTGCTGAGATTACAGGCATGAACCACTATGCCCGGCCTGCTCGTTTTTTATTATTATTATTATTTTTTAAGACAGGGTTTCAATCTGTTGCCCAGACTGGAATGCAGTGAAATAATCTCGGTTTACTTCTACCTTCGTCTCCTGGGCTCAAGTGATCCTTCCACCTCAGCCTCCTGAGTAGCTGGGACTACAGGCACATGCCACCACATCCAGCTAATTTTTGTTGTTGTTGTTGTTTCTTTATTTTGTTTTGTTTTTTCGAGACAGTCTCACTCCGTTGCTCAGGCTGTAGTGCAGTGGTGCAATCTAAGCTCACTGCAACCTTCGCCTCCTGGGTTCAAGCGATTCTCCTGCCTCAGTCTCCAGAGTAGCTGGGATTACAGGCACACACCACCACGCCTGGCTAATTTTTGTATTTTTAGTAGAGACAGGGTTTCACCATGTTGGCCAGGATGGTCTCGATCTCCTGACCT